GCTGGACAACAAACACCGTGTAATAGTATTACGCAGTGGCGGCGGGAAATCGTGTAGGCTTTGAAGCACGTATTGTATATTTTAAATATTTTTACCACCGCACCCTTCTTTGAACCGAAATTAGCAGCAGGGGCCATTAATAATTTATAATTATAATATTTTCCATTTTATATACCTACTTATCTATGCGTCCGTTGTTGCTCCGACTCGTTCGACCTCAGAGACACTTACAACGGCTACGACTCACGAGACACGATCGTCCTCGTGTCTCCGGATTTGTATTGCAATATGCGTAGGCAGGTACTTGGAATTTTATAATTAGGGCCTGGAATTATATTCTTTTGCATATTTTTTTTTGAGTCTGTCCAGTCGGACGGGGGTTCGAAATCTTTACAAATCATAAAACACGTGAGTTAATGGAAAATGTTTTTTTTGAATGTTTGGGAATATTTCAAGATGAAAGAATATTTCTTGTAATAAAAATTTTAAATATTTTTACCACCGCACCCTTCATTGAACCAAAATTAGCAGCAGGGGCCATTAATAATTTATAATTATAATATTTGCCATTTTATATACCTACTTATCTATGCGCCTGTTGTTGCTCTGACTCGTTCCGGGCTACAGTCCAACCTCAGAGACACTTACAACGGCTACAACTCACGAGACACGAGCGTCCTCGTGTCTCCGGATTTGTATTGCAATATGCGTAGGCAGGTACGTGGAATTTTATCGTTGGTTATAAATTTTGGGGCCGGAATTATATTCTTTTGCATATTTTTTTTGAGTCTGTGCAGTCAAACGGGGGTTTGAAATCTTTACAAATCATAAAACACGTGAATTAATGGCAAAAGTTTTTTTTGCATATTTGTTGGGAATATTTCAAGATGAAAGAATATTTCTTGTAATAAAGAATATTAGAGAATATTATATCGATTAATTTTTGTAGATGTTTGATATTTTTTGTTGCAGTGGAGTAAATAATATAAATTCGCACAATATATTTATAAACATTTTAACCGACTGTTGTACAAATATGACAACAGACAGTTGTCAACTGTTTTCAAAAATTTTTGTAGTTGAAAATTTAAAATAATTGAATATTAAATAATATTATTGATAATTTTATCAAACTTTTCTTAACATGTAGTATTTTTTATTATGTAGGTACGTATTTATATCAGGTTTTTGTATTACTTTGCATATTACGTATTTATTTATATCAGTTTGTATTATTTGCTTTATTATTTTCCATATAAATGCATATATTTAGTTCAATAGAATAGGTATGAATTAATAAATACAACATAATTAATAGTTATTAATGATATTTTAATAAAAAAAGCATCTTTTTGCATATTTTATTATGGTTTTTAATGAATATTGGAAGAATATTTTCAACTTTTTAAGAGAATATTAGCACCTTATTTTGACTATTTTAAAAGAATATAATTCCGGCCTCTAGTTATAAGCTTTGTTGCAGAGTTTGCAGTTTGGTCTCGGCCCTCTTCTCATTAAGTGGACGTGTGTGATGTTTGTGTGTCCAATTTTTATCCCCGTTCATATCACTTGTTGTCTTCTCGTATTTGAGGGAGGATTCGAGTTAGGTGACAAAATGGTTTTATTTGGTATAACTTGTTCTTGGTCCCAGAGTCGTTGGTGAATCTTTTTGCTACTTTTTAAGGCATTTCGGGCAGTGTCCTTGAAAGATGAGAGGTCTATTCTGGGGATATTGATGTTGGTGGCGGCTTCTTTAGCTATGTTTTTTGTGTGCATTTGTTTATGCATTTACGCCATTTCAAATATTACGTTTACTTAGAACTTATTACCTCGAATAATAATATGATAATTTCGAGAACAATGTGCCTATTATCTGCTGTGTTACGGATCGTAAACTAATCATAATACATCTATAGTTATTATATAATTTATAAATATTTAACTATAATTAAATTAGGTACTCTGCTAATCACTTGTTTTTTATTTAATATTTTTGAAATTGGATTTTATTTTGCATTTTTGTATATTTCGATGTTTTTTTATTTTTAGCATTATTGGGTAATTTTTGTTGGTTTTAATGCATATTTATTCAATATGTCACCCGTACTCATATTAATAGGTAACAAATAATTAGTGAAATCGTGTAACATTATGGTTGTATTTTGTATGTTTTTATTTCATGTTCGTAATTTTAATAGGGATAAATATTGTATTACAAAATGCATCCCAAAAAAATCATCAAAAAATTAATATGGTATTTCTAATGTCCTTTACCTAAGGTCATTTTTGCGGTAAAATGCATTTTTTAAGGGCATTAATCAAATTTTCCTCATTTTTAAAGCATTTTTTACTTCATTAATTAAATGTTTAATGTCATAATTGCATTTTTTTCTAAGGCGTTTTTAGGTTTTTTTAGGGTATTAAAATCTGCACCCTACTTATTACTTTAAATTATAACTATTAGATATCCAGATAGGTATGTACTATAGAGATTATAATTATGTTTATTTATAAACACAGAATTGAAAAAATAATATTTTTGCTATTGAAATTTTCTCTGTCTTAACATAGGTACGCAGAACGCACTACGTGGCCATGTGATTGTACATTTTTCTGAATTTTTATATTGCTCATAAAATAATCTAGAATTATCAAAAAAACGTTAACTTTACACCCTAGATAATATTCATTCCTTGGAGTAAAATTGATTATTACGTTAAACAGTAATAAAAACAGTATACAATTTTGCATAATTTATATTGTTTTATGTTAAAATAACTATCTACAAACAGTATTAAAAAAAAATCATGTCTTAATTATTTAGATATATTCCTTATATATAAACCCGGGACTGGTCCAATGTGTGATCTACCGATAAACGGCTGGTCCAATGTGTGATCTACCAATAAATGGCTGGTCTAATGTGTGATCTACCAATAAATGGCTGGTCTAATGCTAATGATTGCTTCTTATAATTATACTGCAAAAGTATTTTTTAAATCTGATAAAAAATCATCAAATAATTGAGTTTGTATCGGGTGGCATGACCGCCACCATTCTTCTTTAAGTTGGCGGTCTAATAGAGGAGATGCACCATTGACTTTTATATTATACTTGGACTTGACTAACTTCCACAATGACTATTGTTTGAGTATGAGCTCCAGTATTTGTATCCACAAAATTTTCAGAATGATTCACAGTTTGATGAATAAATCCATGGTCCTTCAGAGAACTATATGCTTGCAACTGATCGCTGTGAATCGTTGTACCAATTTCTACCTCTCTTTCTATTATTGGTAATAGCGTTTGTCGATCCCTCCTTTCTACAATGAAAAATCGTCGTTCAGTTTTGTTTTCATTACTACAATACAAACCAAATACCCACGGTCCCTGTATTCTATTTCCATAATTTTGTTGGATGTTTTCTACATGAGTTTCATTTTCATCATTTGAAGTTTCGTCGCTATCTTCATGTGATCGTGGGTCGTAATCACCATGTTGTAAGCGACCGCAATTATATCTTCGTTTCCCCTGAAAGAGGGATTCATCTATCTGTACAATGTAACCAGGACCTCCCATTTTTGGTCTTTTTGAAAACTGATCAACAACGACATCACGACACAGATTGTACCAGTCAATTACAGTGTATTTACTTCTACCTGTCCATAAAACTGCATTATGTACTGGTATCATATGTACCCAATACCTACTAGACGAGTTCTATTATTTCTGTTAGAGCTAAATTACTATGACATTTACCATCGAGGTCTGTATAAGTAAAAAATGGATTTCCTGCGCAAATTGACTGATATGTTTGGTATCCTTTTACGATACATCTCATAGTAACAATTTTTTAAAAGTACCTTCCGAATTTTATTTTTTTACTGGACCTTGTTGTTTCACGTAATTGTCCACCATATTCGGTGCCATCAATATTCTGTTTTGAGCAAACCAAACGATTGTTACTCAAAAGGTTTTTACTTTTTAAATATTCAACACATTTCAATTCATCAACAATTATATTTCTGTATAAATATCTCATAGTTGTAGTAGAATTCATTTTAAATCGGTACAAAACTAAATTAACTAAATTAAAAAATATTATAGACACTTGTGAAAAAAAAAATGGAAAAAATACACCAACAAACGAAATGACACGAACAAATGCTAAATGGTAACTGAATGTTTAAATTATATTTTAAAAATACAATACGATCACAAAATCCATATCATATCGATAATTATATAGATTAAGTCATAAAATCCATATCGTATCTATAGTAGGCACTATAGTGTAAAATATAGGTATCTGTCATCGGTAGATCACACATTCTACCTACAACACTTTATCGTAGATAGCCATTTATCGGTAGATCACACGTTGGACCGGTCCCCTAAACCCTTAAATGTTATTGTGTTTTAAATATTTATATCAAAATAAAAACCTACAAGTTATGTTATTTAGATTCCTACCAATAAAGGCAATAAACAAATGGCTGACAATCAATCTTCTGATGTGGAATTAGACGGCAATCAGGTCTGTATTTATCGTGTTCAAATATCTTAAATTATAATAAATACATGCCCAGTGCTCACCTCCTTTTTTATTCAATATATTAGGTATTCTAAATATAATTTCTGGAAATTTAAGGACCATTTTTTGAATACTTGATACTTTTTGTGCCATTTAAGGAGTGTCCATACAAACTAATGTTTTTAAATTTTTTTGATGTACCTATCAAAATTTGAACGAGTATTTTCTGAGTTTTTTACTAATATTAATAGGATTATGATAATAGATTCGGAAAATATGGGGGCTACTATGATTTGAAAGCTATAGTAATTACTATTAATCCATAAACATTTTATAATTTGTAAAAATTGAAAAAATTGTCAAAGTATAATACATATAAGATTTAAATATTGAATAATACACCTATTTTATATTTTTTGTAAAACCATTTTTAAGTACTATCAACTATTTACTATATAACTAGTTATACTGTACTTGATAATATAAATTTTAATAACACAAAAACTACTCATTTGAATTTTGATTAGATTTTAAATAGATGCATTAACATTTCAACAAAATAATCGATTCAATGATTTAAATTAAGAACGGTGGGGTGTTACCATTTGAAAAAAAACAGAAGTTTATATAAGTAGAGGACACTCCTTAATTGGTGCAACAATTCTCTAATTATAAGTATTCAAAAATATGGTCTCAAAGTACCTACATTTAAAAATTCTAAAAATTGAATTTTGAATTAAAGCATTATTAGTTACATAAAAAGGCTGAAATGCTAGGTGAATCACCCTATTAATACATACAATAATTGTGTTCTATAATAATGGTTCGCAGAGTAAAATAGTATCTTCGTCAAGTACATCTGTATTAAAACGGTCAATAGCAGAAACATCTAAATTACCACAAATAACATCTTCGTCAAGTGCTAGTTCATCTGGATCAAAACGGCTAAGATCTTTGTTTGGAGCAGAAACATCTAAATTACCACAAATAACATCTTCGTCAGGTCCAAAACCATCTAAATTACTACAACTAAAATATTTGTCAAATACATCTGATTTACCAAAACTAAGGGTACTGTCTCTTTTTGATGGAATTGGCACAGGTAATAATAAAAGAAATCATGAAACCAAAATCTACAAATAAATAAGAAAAACGTATATTGCGCTACAATTAACCCAAGCCCGATTTCATTTATTATGTGCTTTTTTTTTATATATAGGATATTATGCATTGTTGAAGTTAGGGTTTGATATTGAAGTATTTTATGCAAGTGAAATAGATAAAGATGCATTAACGGTAACTAAACATAACTTTTCTGACAACATTAAACAATTGGGTTCGGTTACTGAAATAACCAAGAAAATGTTGGACGAAATCTCACCTATAAATCTGCTTTTTGGTGGTTCACCTTGCTCAGACCTATCTGGTGTCAATCATCGAAAAAGAGGACTTCATGGTAATTATGAATGAATAATTAAAATATCTTTTAAATATTATAACGCATTATGTATATTTGATGTTCCCAATAATGGAGTGCAACTGTAAATACATCTAAATAATTATAACTGAATAACATTAATATGGTTACTGTAGATCCAGAAGGAACTGGTATATTATTCTATGAATTTTACCTTATATGGGAATATTTAAATGGAAAAGCTTCTAGAGCAAATACTCCTTTTTATTGGTTATTTGAAAATGTAGCAAGCATGGAAAATAAAAATAAAGATACCATTTCAAAGTAAATAGTATAACTATAAGTGAACATAATACATTTAAGCAAAATTAATTACACTATAAAATATTATTTTTTATCCAGATTTTTTGAATGCCAACCAGTTGTTCTTGATTCATTACACTTAAGCCCACAGCGACGTAAAAGATATTTTTGGTCGAGCCTCCCAGGGATAGCAATGTATGCTGATATCCAGAAGGATATGTATACTTTTGATGCACCAAAACTAGACGATTATTTAGAAAAGAATTTAGACAGACAGGCTAATGTAGAAGTAGTTGGAACCATCACTTCAAAAAGAAGTTGTTTACAAGATAGTATGATATTGATTTATGAAATGCCTAATATTATAATATACTATTAATATTTTAAAATAAATACATTTGTTTTTTAAATTTTGTTCAGGCAAATCTAGAAATCCTGTATGTCAAGACGGAAAATACACAGGCTTATATATAACAGAGATTGAAAAGATATTTGGATTGCCAGCACATTTCACTGATGTTGGTGATTTGTCAATATCGAGTCGCCAAAAACTTCTCGGAAGAGCTTGGAGTGTGCAAGTTATTATGGATGTACTACGTTTGTTATCAAATAAATTTGCTAAAAAGTGAGTGAGATTTGTCACAATAAACAATCTTTAAATTAATATCAGTAATTGTTTGTTTTTATTAAAACCACCAAATACCAATGGTAATAAATATATATTATATTTTCATATCTATCATATAGAGTACTGTTGTTGTCATTAAAAATTATTGTTATATTTTGTTGAAAAATCAAAAACAAAATTATTTTTACAAACATTAAACAAAAAGGTGGGCATGTAGGTATGTTCTGTTGTACAGTTGGTGTCTAGTGGGTCACTATAATGGATGTGTTAAACTTCAATTCAATGTTATTGTATAATATGAACAATGTTTGTGAGCAGAGATGGTTTGTCAGGCTATGTCAAGTATATTATTCATGACTTCTTCATGTTTTATGATATTGCTATTTAAGTAACTTACTGTACTCTAACTATTATGGAAGGTTTTATCCATGAACATTGTATTTATTATGGTATATTAATTAATATTTAATTATTATAATAGTCTATATTTTTATCATATTTCTTTTCTTTTATGAAGCATAAAGTCTTCATCAACTAGGTCATTAGCCTATAACTATATTTAAATTAAAATTAATTGATTATGGTTATATTGATTATAGCTAACCTGCAGTGTTGGATTTATGGTTGTACCTTTTTTTAAAGTTAATTACATATTAATTATATAGTTGTCCTCTTCATTTATATTTTTATTTTGATACCTATGGTTTTGAAAAAGTAGTAAATTGAGTCACTTTTATATTAATTGGCAAGTGCTTCTTCCATAGTTGAAGGATGTTATGATTTTTGCTTAGGCAATCTTATTCTTTTCTTTAATATGGTTGTGAATAGGCTCATTGTTTAAATAGGTAATAGCTTAAAATAAATTTAAGGTCTGGTCCAAGAGGCAGTTAACTCAAGAAAGTGATAATATTTGATTTGGCCTAGTGCACTATTTTTGCTTAAGCCGGCCCTGATTAATCTAAATATTTTGATAATGTCATTGCATATGGTAACATTTTATAAGTTCATAAAAAATATTTTTGAATTATAACTGAATAATTAACACTATTTATTCCTCGTTCAAATATCTAATTTGTCCAAATATATACTTAAAATATATACTATGGAATAAAAACTGTGTTATTATATTCTTTTAAATATTTTGGTTACAATATTAGTTATTTATGAGGAACCTTGTATTAAATTTTCAATCCTAGGCTATAATAATGAAACATTTTTAAGGGGATTTTATTTCTCTCTTTGTCTAACACAGGCATGACTAGGATTTTAGACGTGCTCTTTGCCAAACATATCTATTGATATAATGAAGCAATAAGAACTCTGAAAACAGATTTAAATTTGTCGTCAAGTATTCTTGAAATCAACTTTACAATATATTTGATTTTATCCCCCAAATTCCTAAAAACATTATGTTAAAAAATAAATCAAAAAATTGTGGTATTTCAATTTTTAGAGAAATCAAAACTGTGGGAAAGCCAATTTCAACACTAGACGACAAATTCAAATCAGTTTTTAGAATTCTTATCGCTTATATCAATTGGTATTTTTGGAAAAGAATACTAGTTTAAAATACGAATAAAAATCGAAAATTTTAAAATATGCCTGTAACTTGCTCAAAAAGGTTCAAAATATTTTGAAATTTTTATGGTGTATAGAAAATAATATTTTAAACATAAGATAGAAAAACCATCTACAGTATTTTTTGTTCCGAGTTGCACCAAAAATCAAAACCGGTTATACATACTCCCAAGATACCTAACAGTTACAAAGACTTTTGGCCAACCAACAACAGTAAAGTAATTTATGCCACATTCTATTAGTAATTGAAATTCAGTGTTATAATATGCTGAATATATTATATATATTTTTTTGTATACTGGAGAAAAGTAAAATATGTATTTTATATATTCACAGCACTCAGATATACTCTGAAAATGGAGCATCGATAAATTCAAAATCGTTATAAGTTATAACTTATAATAAATTATCTATAAAATCTTTAACTACTTATAAATATTAATGAAATTTATATAAAATAATAAAGATTTATCTCAATCAAACCATTTTCAGACCGTGGTCCTAAATTTTCCAACCTCCATTTGTTGTGCCAATTTTGAATGGTTCTATAAGTTAGATTAATAGTTCAATTAGCTAAGATATCCAGTCAAAAATTTTCTTTTTGTTCTAAAATACTCTTATGACACTTAATTGCTTCAGTTATACCGATATTATCGTTAAAACACTCAAAAAAGGTATTTTCAGCAGTGAAGTCAATACTATGGTTCTGTTTATTTTTAATTGTTATTAAGCCATATAACACATCGTGAAAAAGAATTATAGGTACTAAATTTAATTGATTAAATACTTTGTAAGTAAACTTTGCAAACAAGAGAATTCAGTACTTATCAAGGTAAGTACCTTAATAATGTACCTTCATAAATAGGTAATAAGAAAAATATACGAATAATCAAGACTGGGCAAGTTAACATTTTTTTTTAACTCTTTAAGTTAAGTATTTTAAAAAAATTAAGTTAAGTGAAAAGTTACTAATTTTTTTTTTTCGTTAACTTGTTAAAGGTTAACTTTCAAAAAAAAAGTAACTTAACTTAGTTTAAAGTTAAAATATTTTAATTTGCAAAAATAAAAAATTACAGATATAATATGGTTTGTTAGATAGTTTTTCTTTATGCTCAAGAAAATTACTGAGGAAATTTAAATAGATACATCAAACTAAAAATCTCATAAAAAAATTTGCATTGTTCTTTGCACAAAAATTAACACATAAAATTAGCTTAAAGTTAACATGTTTATTTAAAAAAAAAAAGTAACTTAATTACATTTAGAAACAATACTAGGAGCCTTCTATAAAATTTTCAAGTTTTTTTAACCAACAAATAAAATTTTATTGATATTTCTAGAAAAAAAACTAAAAAAAAATGAAAAATGAAAATGTCCCTAAACAGTTCAAAATAAATCAAAATATTTTGAAAATGTTATGGTGTATAGAAAATGCAAATATAAACAACCACTGAACATTTCATGTATCTAGTAGATATATCTATAGTAGATACTATCTACGGTCATTTGTTTTAAAGTTACACTAAAAACCAAATCGATTTTCTCGAAAACAGATTTTGCGTAAAAATTCCCGTTTTTCCTTAATTTTTCTTTTGTTTTTCCTGGCGCTTTTGAAAACTACTGGAAATTTAAATTTTGACCTCTCCAATGCACCAACGATATTCACTTTCCAATCGAACAAGATACTGAAGTTGAAAATCGAAGCATTATTTCGACTACTTATCGTGTACACAGACACAAAAAAAAAAATCAATAAACACACATCATTGTAAAATCAATACATTCATCGTTTCACTCAGAATCTAAAACACGTATTTTATAATAGTGCCATACTCACCGTTAATAAGGATAGAATGTTTAGTATAAATGTTATTGTGTTAGATAATATAATTTGTAAATGAAAAAAAAAATTATAAGTATTCGTACGAAAACAAGTTAATAAAATAAAAGGTGGGTAAGTGGATGTCGCTCTGCTGTACAGTAGGTTACAAGTGGGTCACTGTATAATGGATGGTATTAAATTTGAATTCAATGATAAAATATCATTGTATAAGAAAAACGATTCTGAGCGAAGAAGGTATGTCAGTCTAGGTTTAAGATATATTATATACATATCTATGGTATTAAAAAAAAAATTGACCTATAATAAATTCCAAATTAATCATATCACAATATCCACTAGGTACTTATAACACGTTATACATCGATAACAAACCCTGATACTATCATTGATATATAATATAGTGTACTTTAGAAGTTTCAAGTACCCACGAATAGTATTATACACTCACAACAAAATAACTAAAATAGGTATGCTAGGTTTTTTAATATGTAATTTCGTCCCAAATTTGAACTTAAAATGTCTGTAAAAAATAACTGTGCTCATATATTTTTTAGATTTTTTGGCTACAGTATGAACTATTTATGAGAATCTTTTTTTTAAATTTTCAAACCTTAGCTATAAAAACTGAACATTTTAGAATTTATTAATTACGATGGTTAATAATTTTCGAGATTTTGAAAAATTCTGTCAAAATTCGATGTTTAAATGCTTATAAAAAAAAATTGTGCCTATGTATTTTTAATATTTTTCAACTGATATTGTAACACTATATCAGGAGCCTTGTATTAAATTTTTACACTTTTTGGCCCAACAGATAAAACTTTATTGATATTTATAGAAAAAAAAAACTAAAAAAATTGAAAACTGAAAATGTCCATTAACAGTTCAAAAAGAGTCAAAATATTTTCAAAATTGTACGGTGTATAGGAAATGCTAATCTGAACTTTCAGTGAAATTTTCATGTATCTATAGTTATTTGTTTTTGAATAACAACAAAATAAGAAAATCGCTACATGACAAATCGAGTGAATATCCAATGTTGTAAAAATTTGAATTTCAAACGCTCATAAAAATTTAATTTGACTTTCTTATAGAATTTTTTTTTTTGATAAATGTAGGAAATTTTATAAGGAATCTTGTATTACATTTTCATATCTTAGATTTAAAAAGAAAAATTTTTATGAATTTCTAACTCCAAATAATTTGCAAATTTTCGTGATTTTTCCATATTTTGTCATTTTTTGAACTTTAAATGCTTAAAAAAAAAAACTGTGACTAACGATTTTTAATATTTTTCATCTGTCTTTGAAACATTATAGTAGGAGCCTTGTATTAAATTTTCAAGTATTTTTAATCAACAAATAAATTTTTATTGATATTCATAAAAAAAAAAACTAATAAAATTGGAAACTGAAAATGTCCCTAAACAGTTCAAAATAAATCAAAATATTTTGAAAATGTTATCGTGTATAGAAAATGCAAATATAAACAACCACTGAAAATTTCATGTATCTACGGTTATTTGTTTTAAAGTTACACCAAAAACCAAAATCGATTTTTTGGAAAACCGATTTTGCGTA